CTATCACACAATAAGCTCGATGCATTCCTCCACCTCAACCATCCAACATGAATTTTGCATTAATTTAAGCCCACAATAAATTTTTTATTTTCAAACAATAACAGTAACAACAACACCAAGCCTTTGTCCCACTATTTGTGGTCGGGAACTCTTCAATGAAATTTGAATCAGGGCTTTCGAGGCTACGAGCAGAAGTTGCTTAGAAATGTCCTGGATGGAGAGCTGAGAGAGGTAGGCTTAATGAGTTCACATTATGGGAGAGGAAACTCATAGAAAAAATGGAGCAATGGATTTGTTTTAGATCTTTCATTTTACTAATTAGGTTCATAAACTTAAATTTTAATCGTTAGATATGCCATCAAGGTGTTAGATTCATAGCAATATGGACTGAACGACTCTTTTGAAGTCGTCTAATTCGTCAGTTTCCTGCTTCAATTACCAATTCGGTTGGTTTTTCCTAGATTCAATTGCAAAGCGGTTTCATCAGTATACCAAAGCTAGTCATTGGACCGGTTCACAGTTGAACCGAATGGTCTGGTCCGGTTTTTAAAACCATGATTACAAGTTAATGAATTCTTCTATAATGTATATTAGAATGTTAGTAAATTGTGTTGTATATCTGGGCTCAAGTCTTCTGATATAAACATTCTTATTTTAATTTACTATGCTATCTCCTAATAATTAAAGTTCATTGCATATCTATTTTCTCTGTTGAATACTAACATTTTAGGTCCACACGCTCACTCTCAAGCCAGCTCAAGATCGGGTAGACTAGGACTGAGTCAAGTCTGTAATTTTAATTTAAATGCATGTTCTACCTTTTCTTGAGTCAATTGTAATATGGTAGATCTTGAAGCTAAGTAATCTTGCACACACACACACACACTCAAGGGAGTGAGTAAAGGGAGATAGGGAAAATTAATTTTTCTAACCAAATAGTACATGACAATTTTGGATCGTCCTAGACAATCTATTCAGCTCACAACCTTAATTAGGGCATCTGCGTCATGTAAACCTGATTAAGCAAATCATCCTTGATGATACTCCCATCATCTTGGACAATATACTTAAATCATAAAAACTAATCGCCAAACACATTTAGACAAGATTTTAAAACTCTCAAATATGCACTAATCGTACAAGATGATTCTGATCGTTCTAGATGATACGTACTAATAGAAAGTTCATTAGAGATGTTAAGCCCTTATGAACTAGTCCCAAGGCTAACCAAATGGGGTGAAATGGTATTTTAAATAAAATATTTCAGCAATCAAAACACAAATCATGATTCACCACAAAAATCAAAGTGCAAAAATTAAATGTGGAAATAATAAAGGAAAGAACACACTGGATTTATAGTGGTTCGGTCAAACCTTAATCTACGTCCACTCATCGGAGGCACCCTCCAATTATTGCACTAAACTCAGTGTCTCTCCTTTAGCCCCCACAACTAAGAAGAGAAGCCCTTACAAAATCACTTCCATCTTCCCCGGTGCGGCAGAGTAACAGGATCCTTTGACACCAAAGAGATCTTCTTCTTCCTAGAACTTCCCTCAAGATAAGCCTTGAATTCGATGGTACTAAGGTGCAAGCTCGCCAGAGCAACCGTGTGGAATCCTTCTCTACACTCCCTTGAAACCCCCTCCAAGGATCTTCTCCCTCTCTCAAACTCCACCCTTTCCTCTCTCCCTTTCAAGCTCTCTCTTCAAGTTCCCTACAAAAGAACGAAGCTACAATGACTGCCAAAGACCCTTATTAAATGCCTTGTCAAAACTTATATAAAAGAGCTCAAAATGAGCTCATTAATTGCAACTTGCCGACTTTATCGTCCAGGCCGATATGTATATTGTCCTAGCCGATCAGTGTAAGTTAAGCCCAATCAGCCAGGATGATTTGGGAATATCAAAAGAAATTTGTTCATATCATCCAGGACAATAATATATCATCCTGGATGATCAGTACAAATCATGTAATAATGTCCTAAACATCGCACTAAGTAAGAGCTATCCGATGTCCAATCGTCTAGTGGATCATCCCAGCCGATCCTGCAATCATCCAGGACGATGTGATCATATAATTGAATCTTAATTGCTTTTCTTAAATACCATATTAATTTAGGAAAAATTGTGCTGGATCAGCCAGGCCGATGCCTCGGATGATGCTCGGGATGATGTCCAAAAATAAGTAATAGCTAAATAGATCTGGCGGCTGATTCTTTTTGATTTGAGCCTATTGTCCTGGCCGATACAAAATTGTCCAGAACGATGTGCTTAATGATGTCTTCCTTAATGAGTATGCCCTAATTAGGGTTTCTATTTTTGAACCGATTGTCGAGGCCGATATAAAAATCAACCTGGACGATGTTACAAAAAATAATAAACTCTAGGAAACAGTCAGAAATTCTCTCAAGGTGTGTGTACAAGTTTACTTAGCATCAAGAATCACATTGTTTATAATAGACTCAAGAAAAGGGAAAAAATACAAACTGTCTCAGACTTAATCTACCCAATCTTGAGCTGGCTTGAGTTGCACTCGATCTTGTGGACCTGAAAAATTAGTTGGCAAGTCAGTTATAGAAAATAATGAATATTTGCTATCATCAAAATTCTAATCCATGAAAATAGATCTGAAACACCAATCATGCCTAAATTGATCAAGCGATTAAGAAAGTAACTAAGGTTAGATTAATTGATCATATCGATCGGCCTGATCGCATAATCCTATTGGACAATCTGTAAGAAAAATCTTAGTTTTCTCCTAAATCTCTTAGATATCCCGAACTATCTATTGAATGATAATGTATGATTTTGAACTAATCATATAAGGCGGTCATAACATCATCTTAAACGTTAGTTATATTTCTAAATATCATCCTGATTTATCTCCTAGACATCCTGAATTTCAGCTAGACGATAATGTCATTTTGAACTAATCATATAGGATAATGTCCACATCATCCTGGACGATCATAACAAACTTTGTGTTCTAATAATGAAGGAAACTCAAATCAACATAATTGGAAGGGATGATTTAAACTAATCATAACGGATGTGAAAGTTCATTAGGGATGTTAAGCCCTTATGAACTAGCCCAATGCTAATCAAGAGGGGGGAGTGTGAATTGGTATTTTAAAAATTTCTGAATAAAAAATACAATCTTAAAACACCTAAAATTAGCTAGATATATTATTATTTGTTTTAATAGAGAAATCTACCAAAAAGTGTATTTTAGATGGTATATTTTGGATCAAATTATTCTTATATTATGGGAATATGGCTCAAATATTTGTTCAATAGTTATGCAAACTTTTAAATAAGAAGTTGCTCGATTTTTTTTTTTCTTAAGAACTTTCTCCATTTCCAATGATCTCTAAGCACGTGTGATCATTTTATGGCAAAGTCATAATAAATATTTTATCTTTTTTTTTTTTAACTACTTGTCCAAGGATAGTACTATCATATGTTTGGTTGGTTAGTTTTGAATACATCATTCATATTCAAAATGCTAACATAGAATGATATTAGATACCACATTACCTAATATGAACATTGTAGAACATTGTTTGTACTTTAATACAGAAAAGTTTTGAACACTATTTAAAAAATGTTTGAAGAAGGTTCTATCAATGTTAAAAAAATAATTCAAACAACATGTAATAAGTTTCAAATAAGGCATAAGCAAAATTTGAAGATGGTTCAAATAAAGTTCGAGTAAGGTTCAAATATGGTTTAATATGATTTGAACATAGATGAAACAAGATTCAAACAATATTCACATATAATTGGAATAAGGTTTGAAAGATATTTGAAAATGGAATAAAAAAGGTTTGAACTTGTTTAATTTGAATTTTTTGTGCTCAACTCTTTACAAACTTATGTCATAAATCAAGCACTACAGATGCGATGGATAAAATAGTTAGATTATTTTTTTTTCATTAATTTTTTTTTATAGTTAGATAATTTGAGATTATTGCCCTCATTTTTAATGCTAAGATACCCCCCTTCAATTATTTCTTCAAGTGTCCCAAACTGCAGCTCTCTCAAGCCTTAATTTGTCAATAATCTCTTCCTAGTGATGATTGTTGATGATGCTATTTAGGTTTTCTCCATTGTGTTCAACATTGGAGACTTGAAGACTACATTTGAAATTGCTAAAACCAGCTGAATGACCAGGACAAATTTACATACACTAGGAGGAATTCGTTACCTACCCAAGTAGTTCTCTAGGAACCTAACCCCTACTCATCTTATTGAATTCCTTCTTGTGTAGTTAAGGACCTTTGTTCCCGACAAAAGGTTGTTCATATTAATGAAATGTTTTCAGCAAAGCTCCTACTAAAAAATATGCTTAAGAATTTATTTTATAAATGTAAGTTGAAGAGAATGACAAAGTTAATTAAATTATTCATTTTCATATTATTAATATTTTACATATCTAATAGTTATTATTACAATGCATTTTCATTATTAAAAAAGTTTTTATTTATTACTTCTCCTTTTATTTATATGTAAATGTGATATATCAACAGGTGATTTAATTCAATAATAACTTTCACAATCTTAGCTTTTTAGCAGTAATCCAATATAGCTGTTATGTTAATTTCCTCAAAGGCTACATCCAAACAATCTAAACTAAAAAATACATAACTAACTTATTGTTTTAAAGAAAAAAATGTTTAACAATAATTTCATTAACAAATTAATATTTACATATATAATATCCCAGCATATTTTGACTACCAATCATATGTATTATGAATGTTCGTATTTAATCCACCAAACTTTTTTAAAACCCTTCAAATTTTGGTGTATTTTATACCAACTAATAATAATAAATCATTTAATTAAGATGAAATTATTGCATATATATATTGTTATCGTGATTATTGATTAATTACAGAGGATCTAATTCCTTTTAGGAGCTGTTTGATTTAAAATATTCCAAATGAAGTAATTTTTAAATCAGTGTTTATTTTCAAATTAAAGAATTTGTATATTTGATTTAAAAAAAAATGTAGAATATAATCATTGTTTGAGATAGGTCTGCTTACACTGCATTGGAGGGTACTCATACACTCGCTAAAAAAACCAGTGAAAATTATATACAAGAGAAATAAGCCGAGGAATTGCAGATTAGCTCACAAATTAATATAAATCAGAAATGATTTACAAACAAAGTAGAGAAGCCAGTAGAGGTAGGATTTGTAATCAATTCCAAATTGAAAGGTTCCTGAATTGAGTAGATGCGGCATCGGTCAAAAACTTGATAACTTCCCCTCTTTCGATTTCCTTCTCCTTTTTCAGCTCAAGATGACGAACCTGGGCAAGCATTTTAAGTTTAAGTGAACCTGGTAAATAGCTAAATTTTATAAAAACTGAATTGGTCTATTTCAATTAATAGGTCTCAGATTTGAGGTGTTGCATATGCTTGTTGTGTAAGCATGTATATGTGAGTTTCCAATTAAATATGATTAAAGTCTAAGAAAATAAAGTACAGCTGCATGCAACTTAAATGAAATATTTCTAGCTACAACATCTTCCATATCTTTCTCAACCATCTATTTCAAGACTAACATTGCATGAACCTAAAATATTCATCATGTAAAGTCTCTATAAATATTTCGAAAAAAGAATCAATCTTCAAGGGGTAATACTCATGCACCTAGCCAGTTTAATTTGCTTGGCACTAACAAAATAATGTTACTCTTACACAAATTTAACTAGTATTATACATATCAAGTTCATGTCTTCAAGATTCTCTCAAATCATAAAGAACCAACATTCAGTTTTACAATTTAATTATGATTTGTTAGTATATCTATAGAATTTCACATCTCATCATCATCATTAGCTTTATTCCAATAACTTGGACTTTGCTTCATGAATCTTTAATTTTCATTCATTCTCGCTGAGTGTTGTTTGAGGTACTAAACTAATTATTTGTAATTCATTTTGAATAATTTTTATCTAATTATTTTATGTCAACTCCTTTTCCCATCTTATTCAATGAAATTAATTTTATTAACTCATTTAATGGATGTAATTTCTATTCTTTATTATGAATGTCCATATTATGGAGCCTAATTTTGACATAAGAAGAAAATGCATGGCATATACTTAATCGTAGGTCAACTTTCAAAATAAAGTCCAATAGAGATTTGAAAAGGGTTTGAAAATGGAGCTATAGAAAGACATACAAAATTTATAAGTTATTTCATTAAAGATGTTTTAAAATATTTATTGAAAGTTTAGCACCTCATATTTGTACAAGAGAAATCATGGTTATAAACATACTTGTTAACGGCGAATAGCGCACGGCGCGGCGCGCGCTATTTTGAACACGACGCAAGCTATATGAAAATTATAAAATAATAAGCATAAATATGAAATATTATTAAAAATGAAAGACAAGCTATCATAATAATAAAAGACAACCATAACATATATAAGTTCGACTAAGTAACATCCAAATATCTCATAATTCAAATATTACAATCTTTTTTTAAAAGATCAAATAAGAATTTAATCTACTCTTCTTGTGAATCATCATCATCAGCAAATGTTAAAAAAGCTTCATTATCTTTTTCAACATTGTCTCCTACTTCATAATCCTCTTCATCACCCTCTTTATCATCATTCTCAATAGCAACATCATGCCTAATTGAAGATTCTTTCTTTTTCCCTTTAGATCTTTCCCGAATATTATAGCTTTTATCATAAACAACAGTAGCTTTAGCAACACTTGTCCAAGTTAAATCTTCCTCTCCAGCAATAAAGTCATTTTCTTTATCAGACTCATAATCTAATTTT